GAAAATTCTGAATTATTATAATATAATAATAATAATAATAATAATTATTATTATTATTATTATATTATAATAATATTATATTATTATTAATTATATTATTTTTGTAACACTCGCCGTAGGAAAATTCTGAATAATAATAATAATATAATAATAATAATTATTATTATTATTACTATTATTATTATTCAGAATTTTCCTACGGCATGTGTTACAAAAATAACAATAATAATAACAATAATAATGACAGTGAGATAGAATAATAGTACCGAGGAATACGAAAACTCCGATAGAATAAAGAAACAGTTCTCGGACTCCACTTTCCACGAGCCAGCTGATCGGAATTTCTATTTGCATCGGAAAGATCGACAGGCCACTCGGTATTCCACTTTCCTCGGCGACTAACGATTTATCAATAGGTTCGAACGGTAGGTCAGTGGAATGGTAACAGTGACACTGGCCGCGCGCGCGCACCTGACCAAGTCAACGATTACATGAACTGCTTACGGAGAACTTATTCTTCGGATGTTAATGTATCTGCTTAGATATGGCTTGTTGGGGCCCAGCGGCTGTGGCAAGACCACTCTGCTCTCCTCGGTGGTCGGCGTCCGGAAGTTGAACAGCGGTAAAATTTGGGTCCTCGGCGGGACCCCGGGCAGCGAGGGGTCCGGCATCCCTGGGCCCCGAGTGGGCTACATGCCTCAGGACATCTCGTTGGTCGACGAGTTCTCCGTCATCGGCGCATTGTACTTTTTCGGCAGGATCAATGGCTTGGAGGATTACGTAATCGGTAGGTCCCAAAAACCACCCCCGACTTTATTCCTCGTGCGAACTGCTACATATATTCTGCTGCGATATTGATTGCTCCTCTGTCGACTGCCAACTTTAACGATAGGTTCACGAAACCCGTCAAGACGACGGGTCGGTAATTATATTAATTTACGAGTCGCTCGCGGCAGATATTACGATGACACTCGTTCAAAATCGGAATAAATGTCTAGATTGTCGATTGAATTAGCGACAATGTGAATCCGGTGTTAAATCATCTGTTTAACAGTTGGTGGAACTCTAGATATGGCTCTTCCGTCCTAAAACGCTCGAATGATTGCAATTGAAATAATTATGAACCCCTTAAGTGATCCGCGAAATCCAAGAATCCGCTCCAAAAAATGCCCGCTGTTTTCTCTGTTATGGTTTGCCGAGTCTTCCTAAAAAAAGTCCGTCTCGTCCTTCGAATAAAAAAAGAAATGCACTCGACAATTTCCAGTAGAAGCAGCTTTATGATTCCAATGATTGCGTAGAAATTGCGAGACCGGTGATTTCGTCGAAACGGTGGTACTATTAGCGCTAGAGGCTCGATACGCATCGTTATTATCTGTAAGATCGCAGAAGGTAGTTTCACCGCAATTGATGGTCGGATTGCAGAGGATAGGTACATGTTCCTGAAAGATCTTCTGCAGCTGCCACCGAGGAATAGTTTGGTGAGGAACATGAGCGGCGGCCAACAGAGGCGGCTGTCGTTCGCGGCGGCTCTCGTCCACAAACCAGAACTGCTGATCATGGACGAGCCAACGGTCGGTCTGGATCCGGTTTTAAGGGACAAGCAAGTACACTTTCATTCATTTTGCCTACCGATCGCGCCGAAAGGGCCGTGGAACAATAAAAAGAGCGGGCCGATTGTTTGCGCAGCATCTGGCAGCATTTGGTGAAGATCACGAAGGAGGAGGGCGTCACCGTCATCATCACCACGCATTACATCGAGGAAGCGAAGCAGGCCGACATGGTACGGAAACGTCGCGATGCTTTTGTTCCGATTCGCTGCGAATCGAGAAGCTGATTTTTCTTTTGCAGATTCGATAGCTTCGCGAGCATTTTTCGGTAACGTAAAGAAGATAATGGCGCGATAAGAGTTTCAGCGATTCTGTAATCACTTCCAGTATATTTAGAATGATAGAGTAAAAGGTTCGAATATTGAAGAACGAATTCTAGAAGCATTCTAGAAATCGCATGAGAATTTTATTCGTAGACGAAATTATTGATCGAAGTGGATCAAGAAATGTAGAATATTTCGCGACAATTCAGTGTGAAATTATTTGAAACGATTTCTCCACTCTTCTCGAATGGCTTCGCGTGAAATTATCGAAGAAAGCACGTTGGAGAAGAAATTTTCCAATATGACGATGATCTATAAATTGCCTTTCCGAACGACAGGTCAATGAAGTTTCGCAGCTTCGAATAACGTCGACGGACGAAACGCATTAGATGCATGTACCAACTTAGGAGGTAGGATTATTGTTTCCGAAAATGGTGTTCCAATCCTTTCGTTGCTAACAACATATCTTGCGACCACGGTATCCTTAATGCAGTCTCAGGGATCGGATACCTTACGACCGCGACGTTGTTAATGGAATTCCACGAGCCAGTTATACCCTCCTGTATTTTATTAAGATGCAAAATCCATTTGCCGGACATTCGTTCGCGGATAAGGGTTCGGACGAAGATCTTCGGGAGATATTAAGCTTCGTCTTATTTTATACAAAGCGACCGTCAAAAAATTCTCCCTAATTTAACCTTGAGCTTGTAGACAATAATGGACAATTTGAGAATTTATTCGGGAATTGGGCATTTATTCGAGCCTTGCACCTCATTTTTATAACCGTCAACAATCGGTTACTATAAAAACGAGACGCTCGTCTCTAAAGGCTCGAATAATCGTGTCTCCCCTTCCCAAATTGTCCATTTTTGTGCACAATCTTAGCGCGAATTAGGGAGAATTTAGCGTACAAGCTGAACGTCAATTAGGGACAATCTACGGTATTTGCTGTCGCAGCATCGCGGTCTCGAAATATTTCCTCGGTGGCGGCAATAGGATTGGTCGGAGATAGCGATTTTCAACTCCCGTTAAAATCAACTAATTCGTCTTCGAAAGATGGCGGTGTCAACGATAAATACGTGTGAAATACGTTCTCGAAGTGTGCACAGCGAGCAAACGCTTCTCGGTTTGGCGAGCTCGTTTCTAAGAGAAAATCACGGTGAACGTTAATGACTGCTATAACTCTCAGATTGGATTAATGAGGTGCGGCCAGCTGTTGGCTGAATCAACGCCGAACGAGCTGCTGGAACAATGTCAAACCGATTCCCTGGAGGACGCGTTCCTGAGCCTGAGTCAAATGCAAGTGCAGAATCGGAGTGGCAATATCGGGCAAACACGGATGGCAGAAACGAACATCACCGACGTTCTCACGGGCGATTCCATGTACAGGAATTATCCGATGAAAGTTAGTACACGATTCTTAAATCTAACTTAAATTTAACCCTTAATCTGAATCTAGCCAGCGAATCGAACATCCGGCAAAATTGTTGCACTCAACACGATTCCACGTACAGGGTTTATCCGAACAAAGTTGGTGCACGCGATTTTCCAACCCTTCGAACGGCGTCGAACGTTAACCCTTGACCTTAATGTAGCCAGCAATCTGAACATTTGACAAAATTGACGCGCAAACGCGTTTCTATGCTCGACAGCTGCACAATTTTTGGATCGCATCGTACGAGATTCGATGCACGATGCGATTACATACATGTTGAGACGAACGGGTAATAATGTCTGTCGTAAAAAATGGAACTCTGTAGCTAAAGGTCGCATGTTTCGCTACACGCGACTATAGAGAGTAGAGGCCGTGGTTCGGCGACCGGTTCAATGACTAGCGGCTCGTTTCTGCATTCCTTTCTCTTTCTCCCTACGGCTGGAAGACATATATTTCCACAGATTAACTTACGAAAGAGGGAATCACGTAAGACCGTACGTTTTCTAGAAAACAACGATATTCGGAGAAAAAGGAAGATAACGCGCGTCTCGTTGTTACTTCGCGAATCCTTCGTCGTGCTCAACTTTTTCGTAAACAGGCGGCGCGAGCTTCACGATATTCACTTCACTTCAAGTATGCTAATCGATTGCGGAAGATTTGATCGTAAAATACGGCAAACATTATATTTTTCCTGCGATGGTAAAACGCGGGTAATGGTGCAAGGTGTAAAAAGAATAACGAGTTTCGCGTGTCTACGTATCGAGCGAGTTAATATTGACAATGAAACTGAGCGATTTGTAAACCCAGCACGATAATCGAATTCAAATAATTGATTATACAATTGTCGATTTGCATAACGCTCGGTTGCGGGATATCGGATTATTCGTCGATCACTGCGCATTCTCATTGTTCCGAAAGCAGTCGTTCGAACGAGTCGATCTTCAGAAAAACACTCGGAAGCGGAGTAATAAGTAGACCGCGAATTTTATGCATTTTTTACCAAGACGAATAGGTCGAATGCAGCGTTGCGAAGAAATTGGATGAATTTACCTTCAAGTTATTGCAATTATCGAAAGAGAAAAGGCATTTCCATGCAGCTTATGTTACTCGCAATTGACTAGGACAATTTTTATTTTGCTCGAAGATCCGCGCAGTCTAATGATAAGAAATATGCGTATCATCTTTCAGCCTACGAACTACACTCAGAGCAGCATGAAGAAGAGGTGTCACGCCTTGCTCACGAAAAATGCGCTTCAGTTCGTTCGTCATCCCGGGTAATTATCTTAACAATTGACTCACCGTTCACGGGGAGATGCGAATCTCAAGGACCGCGGCCGATAATGCGACTTTTTCCGCAGCGGCGTACTATTCTCGACGATTTTGCCGATACTGCAGATGGTGCTGTTCTTCAACTCGTTCGGCCTCGATCCGAAAGGACTCGCGATATCGGTCGTGAACGAAGAGGCAGGGAACTGCGATTTCGGGCTGAACCGGGGAAACGTTACGTACGACGAGACCGAATTCGCCTGCAATTTCGTCGACCTCAGCTGCAGATTCACCAACGGCTTCAACGACACCACCCTGAAAAAGGTACGCGAGCAAACGAGGATCGGTTTCGCGCAGAACTTGCTGATAAAAATATGCATTTTTCGAATTACTAAACGAAAGGTGCTCGATAGAAATATTCCGAAAGAACGAAGTACAGTAATGCCNATATTCACTTCACTTCAAGTATGCTAATCGATTGCGGAAGATTTGATCGTAAAATACGGCAAACATTATATTTTTCCTGCGATGGTAAAACGCGGGTAATGGTGCAAGGTGTAAAAAGAATAACGAGTTTCGCGTGTCTACGTATCGAGCGAGTTAATATTGACAATGAAACTGAGCGATTTGTAAACCCAGCACGATAATCGAATTCAAATAATTGATTATACAATTGTCGATTTGCATAACGCTCGGTTGCGGGATATCGGATTATTCGTCGATCACTGCGCATTCTCATTGTTCCGAAAGCAGTCGTTCGAACGAGTCGATCTTCAGAAAAACACTCGGAAGCGGAGTAATAAGTAGACCGCGAATTTTATGCATTTTTTACCAAGACGAATAGGTCGAATGCAGCGTTGCGAAGAAATTGGATGAATTTACCTTCAAGTTATTGCAATTATCGAAAGAGAAAAGGCATTTCCATGCAGCTTATGTTACTCGCAATTGACTAGGACAATTTTTATTTTGCTCGAAGATCCGCGCAGTCTAATGATAAGAAATATGCGTATCATCTTTCAGCCTACGAACTACACTCAGAGCAGCATGAAGAAGAGGTGTCACGCCTTGCTCACGAAAAATGCGCTTCAGTTCGTTCGTCATCCCGGGTAATTATCTTAACAATTGACTCACCGTTCACGGGGAGATGCGAATCTCAAGGACCGCGGCCGATAATGCGACTTTTTCCGCAGCGGCGTACTATTCTCGACGATTTTGCCGATACTGCAGATGGTGCTGTTCTTCAACTCGTTCGGCCTCGATCCGAAAGGACTCGCGATATCGGTCGTGAACGAAGAGGCAGGGAACTGCGATTTCGGGCTGAACCGGGGAAACGTTACGTACGACGAGACCGAATTCGCCTGCAATTTCGTCGACCTCAGCTGCAGATTCACCAACGGCTTCAACGACACCACCCTGAAAAAGGTACGCGAGCAAACGAGGATCGGTTTCGCGCAGAACTTGCTGATAAAAATATGCATTTTTCGAATTACTAAACGAAAGGTGCTCGATAGAAATATTCCGAAAGAACGAAGTACAGTAATGCCTCCCTAACTGACGCTCGGATCGTGCAGAAAAATGGACAATTTGGGAAGAGGAGATTCGATTATACAACATATTATGTCGTTGACAGTTCGTAATTATAAGAACGAACCGCTAGTCCCAAATTGTCCATTTTTGTGGACAAACCGAGCGTAAATTAGAGAGACATTACTGTATTCGGAAAATTAATGCAAGCATTGCATAACTAAATGTTTCTCGAGCAAAGGTACTCGAGTAATCGTCGAGTATAGTTGATTCAGCGACGATGTTTAAAATATTTAATATATTTTCCTTCTGTCCAAGGACAGCTTCGAGATGTTTTAAAAATTCATTAAATTGCTCTTAACACTCGGCTTATGTTTCTCTTCGCTGCGAAAATACGGATAACGAGACCGCAAAGTAACAGAGGATAGAAGAAACGAATGTATTTGCAGATTTATTACGACGACTATAATAAAGCAGTGGACGAAATAACGTGGCAGAAGAGCGTCGGGATAATGCACTTCAGTAGGAACTATTCGTACGCCATGCAATCGAAGATGGACGACTTTTTATCGCTGTCCGACGGTGATATAATTGCCAGCCAAATTAAAGTTTCCATCTATACGCCAGGTAATGTCTCGGCTATCGCGGCGATTTATCTTGAATTGGTACGGTAAACGACACCCTCGATCTTCCTTGCTTCAGATAAACAGATAAGCATGTTCATACAGAAAGCGCTGTACGACGTTTTCATAAAGGAATACAGGAAAATCGTCAAAGAGTGTCGGATTTCGGCGAAATTCGCGGATGTGCCGATACACGTACGTACAAACTTGTTCAGTGATTCGTAATAAAAAAATAAAAAAAATAAAAAAAGAAAAGAAATTGCGAATATATGCTAAGAGAAGCTTGAATCGCTTTAACTTCCAGTTTGAACAACCAATTTATGGATCTCTTGACCAAAAGTATATCACGTTCATCACTCCGCCTTTTCTGCTGTCGTAAGTTTAAAATAACAATCACTTTGCATTCATTATAGAGCTGCTCGTCCCAAGGTTCGAACAATTGAATATTCGAGAACGCTCGAACCTCGGGAACACGAAGGAGCCGACGATTTCGTAGATTCGACGATTATGCAATTAAAGATCGACTAATCGAATAAAGTGACCGGATAAAAATATCGTACAATTCTAATAACGGAATAACGAATAACATTGTGATTCCAGATTAGTATTTATCCTAGCGACGTCGATATGTTCGAGCATAATCATTACTGACCGACACTCGGGCGTATGGGACAGAAGCGTAGTCCAAGGTAATCAGAAAGTTCCTCAAAAACAAATTTGTCGAACGGATTGTGATAGTATACGCTCGTATTTTTCTATTAAGTTACCGTTCCATTTCCAAGTTAAAAAGAAAAAAAAAAGAAAGCAAAGAAAGAAAAAAGATTAAATAAAACATAATTTGCATGTATACCAAATGGCATTTCCTGATGACTGAGCATGTGCGTGTTGATGAAAAATAGGTGTTACAACAGCGGAAATATTAATTACACACCTCCTGACTCAAGTGATAGTGATTGTCATTCAAGTTGCGGCTTCATTGTGTATCGCATTCTTACAATTTGACATGGAGTGCAAGGGGTCGCTGACCGCTGTCATTTGGCTGGCGATGCTGGGCGGAATTTGCGGAATGACTTTCGGTCGGTATACTTTTATCCCCGTTACGAAACCAGCACGAGCATTATACTTTTCTATTTGTACAGGTTTCTTCATCTCGGTGATGTGTGCGTCTCACGCTCTCGTTAATTATGCGGCCGTGGGCACTTTTTATCCTTTGATACTCCTCTGCGGTAAGTCACCTATGAACTTCCCACTCTTCTCCGCTATTACGTAAGACACCGTAAGTTTTTCGCTACCTCCAATGCGCCTCGAATGTGTGCTTAACTTTTTTCAACGCGTATTTTTATACCGCAAATGTGAAACATTGGGAGAGCGACTCCGGCGAGAAATCGTCGCTTACTTTAAAGTGCTGTAACTTTGCGAAAAAAAATCGCAGCCGGGTCTACCTTTTTTTAAATTAACGCGAAAGGATCGAACTTTATTCCGCTGGGAACGGCATGTTCGAGAAAAATTTTACAAAGTCCACACGTTTCGTCGAACTTGGCAATTTTCGATACGACGAGCATGGCCTCGCGATTAAAGGATTACGGTCGCGAGAATGCATCGAACTTAAAATCGAGGAACGATATCTCAAAGTAGAGATTTCAAGCTTCAATTTGAAAAAAATATCGTCATCCTACGATGATTTTTCGCGGAGTTATCCTCGGTCGAATTCGGCCAATTTCTATTCAAAATTGTTCTACGCTGTAATTGTCTTCAGCAATATATCTCAAAAAATTAAAAATGTTCGCTTTGATGGATTTTTAAATGAAAAAGAAAAGTTGCATTCTTATAAACGAGTCTTCGTTTTCTAATAATACTCGTCGCCAGGTACATCGAATGAATAATTCAGAATAAATAATAGACATTTTTCTGTTCACCCAATATTGATTGACTTTCGAAAAGAACATAAAATTCGACTGTACGAATCGCAAATAAATGAACATTCTTGTTTCCCCCGAAGGACTCATTTGGCCAGTGGAGGGGATGCCGAAATTCCTGCGATGGATCAGCATAGTTTTGCCGATCACGTTGCCGGGCATCTCGCTAAGGGGTGTCCTGGAAAAAGGGACTTCCATCAACGAGCCGGAAGTGTACAACGGCTTTATAGTGCTCTCTGCGTGGATCACGTTCTTCATTGGGCTCTGCCTGATGCGGCTAAGGTCGAAATCCATGTGAGAAACACCCATTACTATAAGGAGGACAAATTGAGACGGAGCGAGACGTTTCAGTTCGTGCAATAGTGAGAATAAAAGTTTTCACGCCTGTCACAGGGTCGATACGCTTTAGGTTTATTAAGGCAATCAGAGGAGAGGGGGGAGGGAGAGTTTAGCGTGTCTTTCTTCTCATTTTACACAGAATCAAATAGTTGTCGAACGCGTTCTACCGTCGTTCTATAGTCGTTAAGCGAGCTAATTTAACTAGACTGTACTGTACAGATACGAGGTGGTACGCGTGCAAACGGAATTCTTGTTTGAATCGATCACTCGTTGCGTGAGCAAACGGGGAGCGTGTTGTTGATTGTTAATAAAAATGCACGATTATTTTTGTAAGAACGTACTGGCGGCATTCCATTGATTAAGCATACTTTAGAATCGTAGTTGTGCGACCTCTCCCTACAATAGCATCGCTGTGGTATTATTACATACAGAAAGTGATAATTATACGGACAGATCACACGACACGAGCGATTTTACCTAATATTCTGTGTCCCGGTTGAAAGTTCTCACTGTTCCGGGACCACTTCGAAACATTCCTCGTCGAAGATGGATCTATAAAACGCAAAGGTAAGACGAAAATCACAATGATCGATTAAATAAGCGCGCGATTAATTTATGATTATAGCATACATTCCTTCTAGAAGACATTGACTCTGTAGTTTTCGATTCTCTTACATCGAGTTACAAGAACTTCGAATCGGAGCAATTAGAAAATTGCTCGACGTAAAAATAAATATCGAAACAACGGTGATCAACGTTGATTTAACATGTAATATCTTAACGACAGCGTGGCATTCTTAATTGTCCGATATAATCGTGTACATCGAAGAATGGATTGAAGAATGGACGAAGAAATGAGATACGACACAGCGTTGGCATCGATGAAATATAATTCTTCGTTTCTGATTTATTGATCTCCTCTTTTATAGTGGTTTCCTGTTTCCCACGGGTATACATGTTTACGACACTCACTAAATCGGATTAACATAGTATACAAACATATACAACGTGCGAACTATGTGAACAATTCTTCTTCATATTATATATATATATATTTTTTGTTTTTTTTTTCTTTTCTTTTTTTAATGTTTTGTAACTCGTTCTCTTAAGACTGGAGTATATTTTATCAATAATCGTAGTGTGGGACACGTCACATCGACCATCGATCCTGGGATATAACGCTATGTCTTTGCGAACGCAGCTTAAAATAACGCGAGCACTTCCGGGGGCGGTGGGAAGAGGGGAGGAGGTAAGGGTTTTTTTTTTAGTCAAATCAGGAGGTAGAGAAACGAGACAACGCTGCATCTCCGGGCAGGCATTGTTCTTTGCACACGCGCAGTCGTAATAATACTTGAATTCGCCGTACAGGACACGCGTTTGAAATGAATTAATTACGAGAATCTTAGAATTATCTGGCACTTAGGTGAACGACTGCGGAAATTAATCGGACAACGTTGCGTTAGATATTTCTTTGCCAGGCTGCCACATAGCCGGTTATGCAAATTGCTAACGATCAATTCATTACAACGGATGGAATTACACAATGTCATTGTCGAGCGAAAACAGGTGGAAATTAACCTTTGCACTCCAATTAGCCGGTTCCGAGAACTGCAGCGGAAGTGCATTAGAACGGTACGTGTAATCAAAAGGAATAAACATAAATCGACAATGCTATTTTGAAATTTCCATACTTCCGAGAACAGAAAATTCTATGCTGATCGTCGGTAGAATTATAGTAATAGTATGAGTGCAGCGACATCGTTTTTTTAGGTGTCACGGTCAGCAGATTTTCGGTGATTTCAATGCGTGACGAAGCAGTAACGCCATAATTCGATCGCGGAGTGTCTCTGCCTTTACGGCATAAATAAGACGGCGAGACATGAAACAGTAGAAAGATTAATGTATGAGTAATTATTCAACGAGCAGAACTCATTCAAATTCTTCGAGATAGGAACAGAGATTTATTTGGCTCCGGTATTCGTAAGTAAGAACTACGATCGGACAATTCGTCTGCAATAAGAACATTTGAAATGCTTCTATTTTTTCCCCGAGTTTCAGAAGACGTTCAGAGGAATTGGAATGCAAAGAGTTAACGCGGATCGTAAACTATAGTACGAACGAAAGATGCGCAGTTGTTTGAATAGGGTATCTCCTTAACCACTAATGTACCGATGCTCGTAAATAATCGCCGGTCACGGATAACGCGAAATCCAGATAAAAAAATATTCACGGCAAATTCTTTGCGCTTTCTGAGCGAAGAATGGAACGGTCACATTCTCGATCACACTCTCATCTCATCCTCCCTTTTCCAAATGTATACAAAATATGTATTGCTTAATCTGCTTTTTTTGATTTCTTTTTATAATAATCTCTCTCTCTCTCTTTCTCTCTCGTTACGTCCTCGCCATCTACGAAACGCTAAATTACAGCTGCAGCCAGCGAAACTGGCGTTTGAACTCCATCGACGTACACGCACTGTCATCCGTAACTCGACGTTAAATTATGCACGTTTATATGAAATGAAATTTTAAACGATTTATCAAAGATAAACGTGAAACAAAAACTCTCTTCATTAAATTACATTTCCGATATAATCTGCGGATCTGAAATAAATTCGCAAAATTTCGCCGAAACTTTATTTTCATGTGAAAACCGAACACGATTCATCGGTCGGAATGCAGTACAGCAGTCCTGCGTCGATTTGTTTGCATAATGTCACTATAAATCAGCTTCGCGAGGAATTCTTTACTCGATTCATGCGTAGGCAGCGGATTTACGGCGCTGACAGCGCACACGAGCGAGCATTGGAAATTGAAATAAAAACTTGGGACAGAATTAACTCGCTCTTTACTCATCATTTCGAGCGCGAACGCTTCCGGAAACACGCTGACGTATTTTCAAACACATTTACAGCGTCAGACAATACTTTTAGTAGCAAATTCCCAATTTAATCATTCCCAAACAATTTATCAAAAAATCATGATTTATCTATCATTTTTTAGGATCCATGACTAGAGTGATAACGAGTAAAGTTTCCCTCGATTCTGGATTTGTAAAACAGACGAAAATATACAAATCGTCATAAGTATCTATAGCAAAATAATCGAACCGTTCAGAGATAATAATGGAACAAAACGTACGAACGTTTACGAGGTTACGGATGACAGTGTCCGATCAAGGTACAGAAGGAGTACACGTGAATCCGCGATAGACAGATCCAGTTTTTTCGCGTTTCTCGAAAGGAAACCGTGACGCAGCCTTTCGGAGACTCTGAAATGAATATCCTATTTGTTTGAAACGCCTGCCGAGGCAGATTCACGTTAGCCGATTGCGAATAATACGGCTGGCCGCCGACCGAAATACAGCTGCATTTCGCTAAAACGAGCATCGAAGCAAACACTGTTTCCGGTCGCTTATCGCTGAATCATTACCAAAATTATAGACCGCGAGAATTCTACGCAACGCACGCTGCAACTAGGACTGCAACCGCGCCGAGTTATTGCAAAACTGCACAGCAGGTACGGCACGCAACCGACCGATGTGACACTGACACCGCGGATGACTGAACAGTCGCCAAAAACCGTGACTCTCCGATACCGTTATCGATCGCAGAAACCACTTAATTACCGACTCCTAGGGTATCAATCAAAACGGTATCTATTTTCCTGGAACTTGCCTACGGCGACTCGCATAACTCCGTCGAGCCGAGTCACGTCTGCATAATTCTATAAAAAAAAAAAAGAACCGGTGCACGACCAATTGCTACACACTTCGAACTTGGTTTACTTAACGATAAACAAGTTGTTGCCACACCTTTTGAAACGGTATAACCTTTTTTTTTTAACTGAACCTGAATCTTTTTGAAGATGTCAGAGGGACACTGAACGATGACTAAAATACTTAAATAAATTAACCAAATGTATTTTAGTAGACCAGTGGCTCTTCTATCATCCGAAAACAATTCAAGTCGTTTGGAGTTCAGCTTTAAAAAAGTCGTCGCGTTTGAAAAGCGTGCCGATACTTTGTACATCGTCAGAAATAAAACAATCGATCGATTAAACGTTTTCGCGCATGTCGCAACCTTCACAATGTGCACGGCTTTATATTTCAACGCAGATTTCATGATTTCTGGTTACGAGGGAAATATGTGTGTGCGTGTGTCTGTGTGTATCGGTTTTGGAAAACCTGTACCGACGCTCGCCGGAAAATTAAAGTAATCGGAACAAGGCGGTGTCTCTCGACGATCTCGTAGATTAACTCCGAAGAACGAGGTCGATCTACTGTTACGTTGTAAGTTCGTCAAAAACAGGTCTAACGTGTACGGATCGCGTGAGAATTTTGGTAGAAAGAACTACGTTAGTTTGATGTAACAGCGATGAAAGCGACTCGAGGCGGTCGTGTCGAATAGCCTGGCCCTTTTAGAGCGAAAACAGAATATAAACGCCGTTCAGGATTTATGGAGGCGATTCGGTTTTGCATTCGATCGGACAGGTGTACATTGGAGCCCGTGGTTGCGTGTTCCTCGTACAGTAAAGATATATATATATAGCAATTAACAGTCACGTGCCAGACATCAGAATTCCCTTTGAATAACAAACCAGGCGCTGTTCGACAAGCTTCCGAAGCACGGCAAGTTGACTAACGTTCAAATTACAAATGCATCGTGAATAAATGCTTCGTATCCTAAAAGGGTACACCGAATACGGGAGTCAAGCAAGTTTATACGACTTTTTGGTGAAATGTTCAGTCAAATTAATAATTCCCGGTGAATCTGAAATTGTAAGCGGAAACTGTGTCTGTAATATTCGTCGCAACATTGATATTCGTTACATGTTTTCGATGTTAACGTTAAGTGGCTTACGCTGCGGTTTGTACGAAAGGAATAAAATGTTTCCCCTATAAAAGAAGCAGCGCTGGGGAGAATCGAGGATTTGTCAATATAACCGTGAACGTGTTGGTAGAAACGGTGCTGGAGATCTTGCGCGTGACATAAATACTTCGGGACGATTTTCGTTTAAATAATTCTTTCGAGACAGCTTGCCAAGCATACTAGGCTTGAAACGTTTCTAGTCACGATAATAATCGAAACACTTCAATTGTCGAGCACTTTCGTCTAGTTTTTCGCACTTTTGTAAACACTGTGCCGCGTTCTCCATCTCGTCAACCATTTGGTCAGAAGTTATGCTTGACATCGTAGCGGTTCGCTACCGTATGTTCAAGATAGAAACTTTCCAGGTACATTTTTATGTTTCACAATATATTCTCGGTTCTAATAGGAAATGCTTGAAAATAATAACAGTGACTTGTATCGACAAATATTCGAATGACAACAAATCTTTATAAGGAGAATGACTTATAAACGATACAATTTAAATAAGTACGTTTCGAATGTATTTCAATCGTCATGTAGACATGGTCGGTTGAAACGATAATAGCAATTGCTTCGAAACAGTAACACATGTATGAACAAATATATAAATTAAAATATATCGACATCATCTTTCCTTAAACATAAAACAATACTACTAAAATAATTTATTCGAACTAAAGCTCTGCCTAAACTTAAATAAACTAACGATTTTATATATATATATACACGATCGAGAACATAATTCATTTATAATCTAAGCTCTGACTTAATCTCGAAGTTAACGAAAGCAGATATTAAATTTCATACCGTACGACGTTATCATAGCGTGTACCCTGATTATCTACAATATTCAACGCAGAAAAAGCGCGGAAGATTCGTGTTCCATCGGTCGCTGAATAATGCGATTACCGGAATCATTTTCAGTGTCTCTAGCCGCAATCCTTTCGGACGAAATCGCTTCCGCACACAGGGTTGGCATTCGCCGGAATTACGGTGCGGCGGGGGCAAAAGAATTTCGTAAGAACAGGTTTCCACGGGTTCCCCCAGCACTGCGTCGGGAACGAAAACAAAACAAAGTCCTAGTCGCGGCTGGTTGCACGGCTAATCAGCCGTTTCTCGCGTATGTCAAAGCTTTGGATATTCTCGTAGGCGTGTACGTTCTTGTTGTTGTTGATGTAGCTGTCGATGTTGTTGCTGTTAGCCGTGCTGCTAACGCGGCTGGCGGCGTTACTATCGCGATTGTTAGTAGCAGTATTAGAACGTTTAGCAGTAAGGCAGGGGCCGCATCGGATTGGCATGGGTCGAGCAGCAACGAGACAGTCAACTATCTGTCTTACAGTAGGCATGCAGGTTTTGCTGTACCCTGGAAAACACATATCACATGCTCCATCAGAACCGAACCACACATCGACTTCTATCACGCCATCAAATTCCTTTTCTTTTTCCTCTCATTTTCGCATTTTCATCGCTTCCGTTTCGAAGCTTCTTCGTCTTGCGAATTCCATCGACGTTAGCTGGGTCTGGGCTGCTGTTATTCGTTTCACTTTCGTTTATTCATTTTCATCGATCAGTTCTCGAACGAGTCGATGGTCAATTTAGTAAGCAAGAATATCCAATAAAGTCGAAGTTGCCGAATGGAATCAAAACTGGAAAATCAGAATTGCTCCTGGGAATGATTTCTCTGACCTTTTGTCAGTTAGCAGGTTATAGCTATAATTGAATTATCAGAATAGAAATGAATTTCTCTAAGCTAACGTAACAAATGCAACGATCGATCAAATTTCACACGATTATGTTCTGTTTTTTACTCGTTGGAATCAACGATCAAGCCCAGACCTTGCTGTGCACAATTTTCCTCGCATTCTCTGCCTTTGCGTTTTAAAATACCTTGGGGGTGTGACAACGGGAAGAGAAACCTTGGTTTTCATTCGAGTGCAGCGAGTGCATGATAGAAGTCGCGATGGCCAAACAGGTTTCGCATGTCCACGCGAAATAATTTAAAATAGAGACACAAAGTAACGAATATACAGGATCAGAAAAAGAAGCGGAATTGGTCGAAAAAGATACAAGGGCGGCCTAAGGCCGGTTCAGTCTCACTCAGGAAGCACTTTGCGAATTAACCCTTTGCGGTCGAAGGCCGGGATACCTCCAGGTTGCCATAATTTCCGTCACCGATCGTCTCGTACCAAATACAGTTCTAACGATTCCCGACAAAAACAAAATGCCGCACACGCTCCGCACGAAGTCCGAAAAAACGTTTTCCACATCGACAAAAAAACCGGAGGACCGCATCATTTTTTAAATAGGAGAAGATCTGTTTTAACCCATCAGATGACACGATCAACAACGACCGTAAAAAAGACACCGGAACGGGCAAAGTAGACGATACGTTTCTCTTCGGATCGATCGTGAAAAATTCTTTCTTTTGACAAAATTCGGCATGTTCGAGCGACGCGCGAATGGCTCGCGAGAGTTCCAAAATGGCGTCCAACGGGTTAAACAGAACGGCGTCCCCAAAGGGTTAAGCGTACAATATCGTCAGCTTGAGCATTTACTCGCCACCTTCGTCTATCTACGTCGCTATACAAATGACAAAGAAGAGCGGACAGATTTTGTTTGAAATGGGGTGGGGGTGGGGCGCAGGGGATGGGGTGAACAAATAAGATTTGCGTACCAATACTAAGAAAACAACGGGCGGGTGACGGGGCGGGGGTGGCTTGGTAAAGTAAAGACAACCTTCTGAAAATAAAAAAAGAAAAGGAATCGTTTCGCCGGAAAGTCATTCTCAGTGAACACGATGCTTCTCGAACGTCTCATTCCTCGGCAGAACAATAGAAATTAGGCACTATATAGAGAACAGAGGTTTACGCCTAAGAAGCTCAGCCATAACTCCAAACACAACGATCTCAATTCCATTGCACCTAAGCGTAACAGGATGTCCCGCCAGGCGTTCTCAGCCTACAGGTGTTTCAGTACGTACGTGTAAAAAGTGGAAAAAGAAAAAGAAAAGCATTTCCTTTCTTACGGAGCTGTTTCGGGAATCATTCACGGTTCACACGTTTCCACAATCAACGAACGATTAGTCATCACAGTTAGATGCATTGGAGGCTCGGCCGGTTAGAACAATCATCGCCGCAGGGATTTCTCAAGCGAGATTCATGACAGAGGCGCATGACACCGTGCAACAGGAGTACAAGATACAAAGGAAAGAGAGACTTTGTCAAACTGCCATATACATATACTTACGGGAAGAGACCGGGACAGATGCTAGAGCGTTTGTTGTTAGCGGAAATCGGGTCCGAAAGCGAAACGTTTCAAACTGTCTATCCGACGTTTCTTTCTGTCGCTTTCCAATGTGCGATACATTAATCGAGTAAAAAGTAAAACGCGAAAGATCACGAACGAGATTTCCGAGTTTGTTTGTTTTGAGCAACACCGTAGTATCGTGATAAAACGACGAGACACCGATCAAACGAATGGAACGAAGATGAACGTTGTTGTACTTCAATGATATGTGCAATCCGCGAAATTCTACCAGCATTTCGTAGACTGAGGGAAACGAGAGTTCCCTCCCCCGGCCACGCCCACCGACCCGAATTTCTGTTCGCCACGCCTAAAGTCTCGGTTTTTGGACGATCGAGGCTCGAGTTCCGGGTGCAAACGCTCGCGCAGCTGTCCTCCGAAATCGTTGAACGAAAACTAGCGGATCGAATCGATGAAATTTGATTATCGCGTTCTCTCCCCCCCCCCCTGGCAACTCTCTAAGAAAGTCTACACGGCCCGGGACAGACAATTCGGCGCGCGTGAAAGTGACAAAATCCAATCAAGTCCCCGGTTAGGCCCCGATCCCCTTAACGGTCGTAGGTGTCGGCGGCGTTTAAAAACTATACTGATATGGCGCTCGGAGTACAAAACACGATCTGAAAAAGTATCAAAACAATTGGCACGTTCCGAATGAAAGTCAGTTTGGCAGATGATGGTACGCGGACGCGTGTATTAATTTAACGGACGCGCGAACGAGACACGCTTTCCCCGATCGATGTACCGCAGCCCGTGTGTATCGCTTACGTTGTACGTAGAATATAGTTTAATTGAAACGATCTTCCGTAGTATTGACACGTTATTAGGATTGTCTCGATAATGCACCGCCTTTCTGTGCGCGTCCGTGCGCTGCAAAGAACTCGAGGCGAATATCGTACGACACGCGTCGCGCGTGTACCGTCGAAACGTCGTCGTCGTCGTCGTCCCCGGGGTCCTCGAAATCCTCTTTCCAACGCACGCGTCAACGATTTTTCAAATCGGTTAATTACGGTTGAACAGTGGCGGCCCTTAGATTTAATTCGTTACTCGTTAACGCGATTATCATATATATATAATATAATATTCGTTCTTTTCCTGCGCTCTCTAAAAGGAGTTTTACAAAGGCCTGTGTTCCTGTATGCATATTATAATTAGAACTCTTCCTATTTACGACGATCAACGTGCGGCATAATAATTACGCTTCGAGATTTCCGTTTCTCTTCTCGTCGCGCGAAACACGGTCTCGGTCCTCGAGAGGTCGCGCACGGTTCAGATCGAGATCCCACGTTTCCGGTTTTCTTGTCCGACTTCTTCGAAGTTCACGCTTACGTTTCGTTACGGGTACACTCTCTTCTCGGAACGTCCAATTATAGTGGTAACGTCGTGGCGAATTAAAAGAGAAGAAAAAACGATTTCACATTCTTGTAAAATATAAATCTGCTGGCAATTGTTAATCTCTCGGAACCGTTTCTAGAAATTCTCGTTCTCCGATTACGTTCACTAACTTTGTTGTCTCGTCGGCGTTAAAATTCAACGAACGAAAAATGGCAGCAACTCGTTAGAGAAGATTTGAAGAAGTTTGGAAAGAGAAATTTCGAGCGTGCAGGAATTCGAAGCACCGTGTGATCTCTATCCGCGCGACCTCTCGCGGCTTCATCGAATAGAATCTATGAGCAGGATTAATTGTAACAATTTGGCATCTCGGTTGCTCCGTAAGAACCAGTCCCTCCGAGCCGAACGTATCGATAAATACATACGTATTCGTTAGCTAGTCTAATCATACGTGAAAAATCTTGTATCTCTTGAAGGCGATAGGTACCGGTCACCACAAGAGGCTAAATTTTGCGAGTGACCTAAAACGAGAGTTCCATCTAAATTCTGTGTCACATATATTAAACTCTGTCCGAACTAGCGTGAGCGTTTTCCTTCGGCAAAAACACGGCCCTGATCCATTCCAACAATTACAGAGCGGTCTCTTTTTCACTGATTATCTTGATACCATGCTTCGTCAGGATCATCTTCACCGTTTCGTTGTCCCTGATCTTCGGCTTCTCCGTCCAGTCGACTTGCCCTTGGGTCTCCTCCACTCTGTCCAGCCCTTCCATCAGGGAATCCAGATTATCCGTGGACGAGTCCACGTATCTGACGTTGTCCGCGGACCGTTGCAACGACTTGCACCTCCTGGAGGTCTTCGGGGCCCGTATATTGTCCGCGGAGCCGATCAGCTTGCTGTTCTTAGTCCTGAGCACCTTGTCGTTGCTTCTCGTCGACACTTTGGCCAGCTGAAGATTGTCCACCGAGGAGTAACGCCGCTTGTCCTGCGCCACGTTCGCGGAGTCCTCCGGCTTCTTCTTCAGCAAGGAAGCCCTGCGGCCGATCCTCCTAGTGCCACTGGTCAGGATCTCTATCTCGTCCTTGGGGAAGTACCTATCCCGCGTCTTCTTCTTGATCACGCCCGCCTCGGACAAGGTAAAGGAAGACAGGTGCTTCTCCTCGTCGCGAACCAGCGTCTCCGATTCGGGACCGCTCGGCAGACCGCAGTTCTCTATCTCGAAGCTATCCTCGTCCAAGGTCGGGTCGGTCAAAGTGTTGTCGGCGCTGATTCGGGATCTCTTTGGAAGACTTCTAGAGGAAGACTCGATCATCCGGCTGTGCTCCCTGAGGTCCCTCGTGGGTAAAATCTCCTGGTCCGGGTTGTACGGGGCGCAGACCTCGCCGCAGATCTCGCAGACCTCGCAGAGCTGGTCGCACTCGCAGGCCGGCAGCCTTCTATCCAGAGCGTCGGAGGACTCCTGCAGGTTCCAGGAGCTGCAGATGTCGCACTCGGTCGAGTCCTCGTCCGCGATCGAGCTGCAGGTGGACCGCAGGGTGTAGAAGTTGTCCTGGCTCGGGCTGGGGATCCCCTCCTCGGTCCTCAACGACATCTCGTTCACGTAGCAGCAGAGCGAGCAGAACTCGTCGGTCTGCATGTCCAGCTCGTTGGTCGTGATCAGCTGGGACGTGCTGTCCGCCTTGGACGGGTCCTCGTAGCACGCCTCCTGGATCTTCTTGAACGACTCGTAGCTCTTCGACTTCTTCGAGATAACCTCGTTGGGCTTCGATCGCCGCCTGGACGCCGTCTTCGAGTCGGTGCTGGCGATCACGGAGTCCAGGCTGCCCTTCAAAGGCGTGTAATACATCGACGAATCCTTCTTGGACCTTTCGTCGTTGGACTCGTAGGCCTTCGAGCCACCGCTGGACTTCTGCGATCGAGACCATTTCCCGTCTTTCCTGGAGCTCTTCGTCTTGGTTGAGATCTCGGAGAACGTCTTGTAGAACGTCTCTTCGGACTGCGTGTACGAGTCGGTGCTCTTCTTCTCCGCGTCCTGCTCGTCTATGACCAGCTTCTCGGTCTCGTCGTTGCAGACTCGCATCTGGCCGTTCTTGATCTTCCTAGGACTCTTGCGGGAGTTCACCACGGACTTCAGATACTTACCATCGATCTCCAGGTTCATGTCCAGTTTGGCCGTCTCGTCGGATCCCGGTCGATCTTCCGGACTCGGCTCCAGAGTCTCCGGAGACTCGTCCACGATCTCCTGGATCTTAACGGTGCTCTCGTCGCTGATCGACGACGGCACAGGCGACTGCACCAGCAATAGCTTATCTATACTCCCGTCAGACTCACCCTTGAATATCGTGATCTCTCCTTTACCGTGCACCCCGTTCTCTTCCAGGATCAGAGTCGCGCTCTCCTTCTCGAAGGGATTGTGGATCATGGCGCTAACTAGGACCAGGACCTGGGTATTGGGACATCTCACGCTATCGTTCGGGAAACTATCCTCGAACTCGACACCCTCCTGGCGATCAGCCAGGAGCTCTTTAGGACCCTCCGACGGGTCTTTAGGAGCGGCGTCCTTGCCCTCCTCGTGGACCTCGTCGTCCAGCGAGCCGTCCAAGCCGTATCGCGTCAGTCTGTAGTCCTCTTTGTCTACGCTGAAGTCTGACAAAGCGCACTCGTGACGGCCGCTGTTGTCCACCGACGCGGGCAGGCCCGACGACGACACCGACGATTTCCGCTCGGGTTCTTTGCCCACCGTCAATCCGTCCGTGTCGTCTTCGGGCGCTAAGTCTAAGCTGTCCCTAGGGTCCGCGCGGCTTTCGGGGATGGGTATCGCGGTGTCCACGGCTTTTGACGAGGTGGCGACGCTCGGGGACGCCTGTTCTACCTGACTGGACCGTGGCTGGACTCTAACGACCTTCTTCCTGCCTCTCCTATCATCGTCAACGAAACCTACCTCGTCGAGGATCTGCGACTCGCCGGTTTCGGTGGCGATGATCTGTTTTGCGAGACCTGGGTACGCGGCCTTCGCGGTGGCTAAGTGCTTGGCGTTACCGTTCTCGGCGACTAGCGCGTTAATGAACTTCTCGCGGGCCTCGTCGAGGCCCGCATGCCGCGTCGAAACCGTCTGAACGCCGCCCGCGTTCTGCAGGTTCTTACGCAGCACCGCGTCCGGCACGTCGATGGATATTATTTCGATCGGACTCGGGGATTCCATGGTTACGTCGCTAGGCGACGGCGTGAGAAAGGTGCTTTGGTACTTGGAGTCAATGGTCAAGTAATTGTTCGCGTTCGGCGAGGTCAGTTCCAACTTACTTCAGTGTCCAAGAGTGGCAGCGTGAAAAACAAGACACTATGTTTTATATGGTACTGGTCAGGATATCGGTGCACTCTATACACGATTCAGGCACAAAGGGTTCACTAATTGTCTTCGTTTTACAGTCTTCTTTAAACGGACAAAACCTTGCGGGCAGCTCGATATCCAAGTTCGAATTTTTTATAAAAATTCGACACGCGACTTGGTCGCATGTTTTAGTGGCTGCCGTAAGGGGCAACGGTATCCTCTGATTGGATGGAAAAATGTTCCATATGAAAATTTTGTACCTTCATCCGTGAATCGGTATTTTTGTCGTGATAATTCGATTGCGAGGGTATGGTCATTTTTTATTTATCGAATTTATAATCTCTTAATTACATTCTCAGGGAAAAATGTTTAAAATGAAGATACCCTCTCGTAGTCACTACAGAAGCGTAACGTAAAGAATATAAAATAACGTGATTGCTAAAATTTATTCATAATTACAGCGGTGAAAAATTGATTCGAGACTCGATATACATAACATGGAAGACTCTTAGACTAGACTATTATCTATTATTGTATTAATAGTTTTTTGAAGATAATTTAACCCTTTTAAGATTCAATAAATTTGTATATATCACAAGAACCACTCAGTTCTTTATTAAACATTTATGCCGTAGCCCTGTCTCTTCTAGAAATACTTTTAAATACTAGACTATAGCGAGACCGACAAGATGAATTGTTTAATTTGTAATATTGTTATTTAGTATATCGTTTGGAATGTATGTTCGCTAAAAATTGTGAACTTCTCTTATATTTTATTCTATCCTTTATTCGATATATAAAATAGCTCGTAAAACTTTTTTTATTGATACAAATAAAACATGAACATGAGATCTGTACAATTTTCATAAATAGAAAATATTCTGAGTATTTTTTATGCATCGATATTACTGAGTGATAAAAGGGTTAACCATTGATCACAAAATATATAATTTATATCACTTTGTGTAACAGCTTTATATACTCTAAACTCACCAACTACGTGGAATATGAGTGCTATAAAAATATATATACACTTCTCATTCAAAATATGTAAAAATAAAGTCTTGTGTATATCTACTGGAAGATATGCTATTAAATGGTCACTAGTCAATTAAACTACCAGTTTTTGTAAATTATGTCAGACTCACATTGTGGACGCCGACGTCTTGGCATCGTAAATTCCATGCTTATAGACATAATCGATCACAGCATCTTGTAGGAGATACCTGACACTCTCACCTCGCTTTAGTGCCCTTCGTATTCTAGTTGAGCTAACTTCATTTGGAATCCATTCTGTTACTATGTATATATTGTGCTGCACAGAAAATAATAATATAATGTAGAAACATATAGGATTTATGCGATAACAATAGTTCCATAATTACTTACCATATGCCTAGAAAGGATGTCCGAGTCGTATATAAATTTGTTGGGATTAGATCCCTCCCTGGTAATAACTACAAGACCGTGTTCTCCAACAATTGCATCAATCTGTAAAGGAAGACGGTGCAATTAGAATACAATGACATAAATTCAAACAAGAATAATATCCGTCGATATAATAGCTTACATCTTCCTCAGCCCATAGATCATAGGTTCCAAAGCTCTCTAATAAATCAGCCCCACACAGCAATTTGATTTGAATAGGATTATGATCATCGCTGTTCTTCACATTTTCTGGTATCCACTCCAAATCTTCGGTCGGTATATGATTCAAATTATTAGGATCAAATAAAACAGAATTTAATAAATTTTGATGATGCTGTAAACTAAGCCTAGTCTTTGTCCATCCGTTCTGCCTGGTCTCCCAATTGCTCAACCGTATCCAGTCGCTATTTTGCAAGGCCAGCCTCAGCATGGCACACCTATGAGTGGCACTAGCCAATTCCTTCTTAGCGTATGCATCGTGTACAGGAGATATAACACCACCGAGCACAATGTGTGTTCCCATTCGATGGAGATGATCCCTGGCAATTTCTGGAAATATTTCATAGAGACTTAACCTAACTTTCCTTCAACGTCCCAAGAGCAAATCTGATTAACATTAAATCTTCGATCGTGATTCGAGAAACGTAGAGAAACGTATAGCTTGTATTTTCGAGGAACAAGGATTCGTGTTATTTTTTAGATTTCGAATAGTTCAAGTTAAACGATTACGTCAATCGCGATTGTTTACGCGGTGTTATCAAGATGACATCTCGTTTAAACGACTAACAACGTTATCTACGATGATATTCGATAGGTCCTAGTCATGTATAATAAGAGGCTCCGCTGTTTACGTAAAGATTGAGTATCGATTACGATAATATATATGTACCAAACATTCTCAAGTGCATATTGGTCGGAGGGTTATAACTGCCACACGACATAAGAATAACACGCGTTGGTGCCATTTCTTCTTCTGCTACGCTGCATGTGCTGTCACAATTTAACCTCGACTGACTACTCTTCGTTCTTGAAGTGTTTTGCACCTGGTTCACCAAACATTCGCCCCGATGCGTAGTTACGCGAGATAAATCGTTAGAAGAGCCACCAAAACGGTCAACCACACGATACAAACTGCACACTGGCTGACGTTTCAGCCATACTTGTAACGGCGGTACCGCGTTAGTCAGTTGAGAGAATTTTATCAACAACATAATACCCGATGACATTCAAAATCCATCTAATCTGACACATTGTATATTTTTACTGATTGTGTCATTCAATACCGCTTTAGTCAAAGTCACTGTTTACTGACGCTTATCAATTGTTCATTTGATGCGCGTTGCAAGTTCCAGTCCCGTACTTTGAAACGGCTTCTTGATAGTTCTTACTGTAGTTGCGTATCGTTTATTTCTACTTGTTTTTATCATAGAAACTCGTTGCAAAATTATTAGGAAAGTTTGTGAAATGTTTTGTGGTATAAATGAAGCTTTACTACAGGTAAGAGCCATTGAAAATTATTGATAACAGACGGAGAACTTTGTACGCTGATATCTCTGCATTGTTATAAAGATCATGATGAATATTAATACTGTAATCACAGTTGTTTTGGTATATATCATATTCTTGGGCAATCAATACAAATGTTTTATCTACAGGATGATGTTATTATTAAAATATTACTCATTATTCCTCAGGTGCATTTGATGGAGGATCAAGAAGGAAGATGAAAGACCATATTTGAAGTTACTCAAACTATCTACCTAAGGTAACCTATTTAATTAAAATAGTTAATAATTGCGCTATTTGAATTATCGTTCTTGTGCCAATTTCTGTGTGCTGTGTTTTTATTCTATCATATAATATTAATCTATAATATTACAATAACAGGAATTTGAATATGTATCTAGTATTAAGAACTTGCTAAATAAATTAGCAATTAAATATTCGAATCTTTACGATTGTATAAAGCTTGCTATGTTAAACAAATTTAGTAATCCATTTACAGTACTTCTGTTTATTAAATTTATTATTTATTGTCTTGTGTTAATGGTTTTGCTAGGGCACGGTTCAAGCACGCGATTCCTTAATTGAAAGACTCTAGTTTAGAGCCGACTGTCTCTAGAGTCTTTTAAGTTGGAAAACTTTCGAAAGCCGCCAACGAGCGATGTAACTTGCGAAAATAAAACGTAATTAGGGGACCGTTCTTGGAGTTTGTTTTCCATTTAATTTTGCGAGCAATGCGGTCGCGGAGTTTTAGAGTTCGTCGCGTGCTGAAGTCTCTTCCTTTCTAGAACGACGTACCTCTAATTATAATTGTCCGAGTATACGGAAGGAGTTGCAGCTAACTTTGTTACGCATTCAAAATTTAATTTTCCGGAAACTTGACACTCGCTGGACCTTTTTAAATGTGGTATTCACGATCTTTCGAAAGGAGAATTCCGAGATTAAATATTACGACTGCTGTGCAACCGCTACATAGTGAAGTATCAAATATGAGGCTCGATTCGATAAGAATATCGAGTAATTGGAACAAGGCACACCGATCGCTGGGGTTTAGAAAATCAAGTTGCTTCAATGGCTGCAACTAAATTTGATGCGGTTTTGAAAATTTAGTGAAATACTTCAGAGACAAGAGGATTCGGAGCCGGTTCAGAAAGTCGATGGGATTTAGTAAAATTTCGCTCGGATTCAGGGTAGTTATAGCTTTTCAATGCCTTGTTAGTACGTTCCGCTTTATTACCGTCATAAATTGCCCAAAACTTACGAACAATTACAATCAGTTGCGAATAAACGTTGCATAATTTAGACCGTTGATGGATTAAGAAACTAAAGAACCATCCGCGAATGTTAACGCGGCAATCGCGATTGAAAGACAAGCCTCGAAAATGGAAATCATATCCGATGCAAGCCTAAATCGAATGGACAGAAGCCCGCGAACTGTCTAAGCAGCGCTTAAAAGCGGTTCGAAAAATCAGGGTAAGTGGGGAAAGTTGGCGGTTAAAAATCTAACGTAATTAAAACTTCGCGAATACTGCCGCGTCCGCAAACTTCATCGTCTGACCGACATTTGGTAAGCCCTGTAAATTCCCGAGTCCCTGAAATACTTGAAGTTTTATCAATCTCAACGGAATGTTATAGGCCGGCTGGCAAAATTCGCGGAACTAGTTCAGGGAGAGCGATAGAGAGGGAGAGGGAGAGAGGGTGGAACGGGACGGTATAGATGGAGACAGATGGAGGAGTCGATTCTACAGCGGTTGTAATTAGCAAGGTGCGCAGCAACGCGTGCTTCACCGCGGTTCGCCATTTTGAATCTACTGTCTCTCCGCGAGCTGTCCTCGAAACAAGTAGAATGACGTCAGATCTTCGCAACCCTGTTCGCCACCCCCGGCCTCGTCGAATCGACACGCTCGCTCTCGCTATTTCGTCCCGAGAGCACTCGATTTCTAGATTTTTATTGCGCCCCGTGTCGTTGACATTCTTCTGGCTTTACACGGCGAAACCGAGCCAGAGGAGACGCAGAGAACATTTCTGCTTCGCGGCACAATGGCCGAACGTGGATGCTTTCTTGCGATTGAAGTCCCGTTTTTGTTCGAGTCGCTTGTGTTTCCTGTTTCAGCTTTCATATCGCTCTTTCTCTCTCTCTCCCTCTCTCTCTCTCTTTCTCTGTGTCTCTCCTTTCCTCCCTTACCTCGCTGTGTGCATCGCGAACGCAGTTTTTCGGCGGCAGTTGAAACGAGAAGCTGCTTCAAACTGTGCCCGCCAGTTGACTTCGCCGAAGTAATCATAAAAGATTGTACGCTCCACCCCGTAGGAATAAAACGCGAGGTTTCCCCCAGAAGTAAAAAGGGTTTCCCTCTGATTGGGTCCGCGGAGGTTGACGAACTCGCATTTTTAGAGAAAATATTCTGACACAGATGATGCGCGAACAGTTTTGTAAATGGCAGGTCGGTTGCGGGGTGAAACCTGTGTCGCGTTTATTTTTCATGGTTTCGTTATGGAAGGAATGATCAAGTGGAAACGGTAGAAATAATCAGAGAATTTCAGGACATCTGGTGTCCCTAATTCATTGAACATTTGTATTCGAGATCGATGAGATCGAACGTAGATCTCGAAGAAGTATATCGAAAAATAAGTAAAAGTAACTCGAGGATTTAGATGTAAAGATCGATAAATGCAATCGAGAGTTAAATAATAACACGATGTTTTCGTATTACAAAGCAGTCTGTATTTTAGTTAACTTCGCATGAAACGCTATAATTACTCTTTTACGGTATCGCTCCGTTGCGGACGACATCTTGAAGCGTCGGATTCACCGGGGAAGATTAATCTCGACAGATCCACGATCAGGGTCGTAACAAATTAGCGTCTTTGTGTTTCCGGGGGAGGGTCGGGGAGGGGCGGGGGGAGGAATAGAGGAGGAGAGAAAAAGCGAGTCTATCGTCGGTGTCGGTAATTTTTGCCACAGGTAAGAAATCAATACTCTGATACGGCCATAAATCCACAAGATGGCGACGGAACCGCGCGTATCGTGTTTCATCTTTCCGCAACGGAGAAGGGAGAGCGCGTCAAATGAAATCGACATGCAGGTGAACGATAAGTTATCTCTGGGACGTGTAGAATCTATGCCGCGACGTTACGTAACGATCCAGGGCTTCGCTTTAGCTTTCGGGTACGATCTCTCGTTCCCGCTTCCCCGCTTCGACGCGGAAATAACGTCGCTGGAAAGTAAAAAGGTTGGGAAATAAAAAGAGAATTAAAAGGGCGCCGTGCCGCGCCGCGCCGCGCCGGGGTCGGAGCGCGTGAAATCGAACTTTGTGTTCGCGACGTTCAAACGTTTCCGGGGAACGGATGGACGGGCGCAGAAGAGAATGACACGGTTCAATAATACACAAATTTTATTTTATTCATTTTTTTTTCTTCCCGCAGAATCGAGGAAATCATTTGTTGAGAGAACAAAACCTCTGCAATACGAATAGCAGTTACAAGTAAATATGTACAATAATATAGAAGTGGTTGCCTTTCTTATTTATTTGTTTATCTTTATTTTATCATTTTTTTTGCCTTTTTCTTTTGCTTTAAACATCTGGCTTTTTATTTCCGGTTTGTGTTCGTCTGGTATATTCCTACTTCTCGCACTGTTAATGATAATCCATAATGATAATCAATTAATTAATTAATTAATTAATAATAATGATAATAATTATAAGAATCGTACTGAATCAATATTAAGAATATTTTGCTTCCATACATTCACCTGGTAATGGAGGTTCAATCGTAGGCATACCAATCGACCATCGAATCATGACAATATTGACAAATTGACAGAACGTGCTTTCTTCGCCTGCTTCGCATTCCGTTTCACCTTCTCTCGCACAACCCGCACCCATCGCACCCCCGTATCCTCGATCTCTCTCTCTCTCTCTCTCTTTCTTTCTCTCTCCCTCGCTCCATCTCTCACTCTCGTATCTTTCGTGCCCACTCATCCCTCCGCGCACGCCACCCTGACCTCTCACCGCTGTTTACCGTCCCAACTCTTGCCTTTTTAATTCACCCCATCTCTCACCCCTTTCTCGCACGCACGGTTCTTGTTCGCGCGCGCGATTTTTAGGCGTACACGCCGTGCAGCGCGCGCCCGAAATACCTCCCGCCCTCCACGCCCCCGTCTCCTCAAACATTAATAACACGTACAGCCACCCCCTGGCGCGTCTTCATCGCCTCCCGAAGTCTACCATCGTTCTCGCCCCCTCGAACCCTTTTTCGAACAGCTCTCGTGCGCGCCACACCGCCGTAAAACGACGAGCACGAGACCCTGCCCCCCCCCCCCCCCCAATCTTC